GGCATGACACGGCCCTGTTTATCACTTGCAAATTAAATTGGACAGGCAAGGGACAGATGGGGAAGAGAAATCAGGGACTGACAAATAGCAACCAGCCATTGACCTGTATAGAGATATTGGTTTGACAGTGGCACAAAGGAAGATTTGGTAAAACCAATTCAGTTTACAGCTTGTTGTTTACCTTCAGAGATAAGGTTCTCGGGAATAATTATGTGTTCAACTGGCTGGTTACTTTCTCTTGGTTTCCTCTGTATAATACAGACATCTTCTAGTTACTGTCATGAGGCATTTCCTCTGCCTTGTTTCAAATTGCTTGTCATTTTCCACACGGTCTTTGGCTTACGTCCTTAGGCCTCACTCCCAATTGTAACTGCATTTTCAATGCTCGCCATTGCAACTACCCAGATCCCTCCTTTCCAGTTCCTGTCCTTGCTTTTCTTCCAGCCTCTGTTGTTTTCTCCATTGTAAGCTCCTTGGGGACAGACAGCTATCTATTTTTCATTATATAATATCTGTACAGTCTGATAAATGAATGGTTGATCAGTTAGTTCATTAAATATGTCATGGTTGATCAAGTAATCATTGCTTAAAATATCTAAGAGCTGTTTTATGTTACTTTAGGGTACATCAAGCTCAGAACTTCCAGTCTGGTATAATATGGAGTCATGCATTTTATTCCTCAGGGTTTCACATCTTTCTCAGCTGAACTATCTGAGGTTTCGATCTGGTAGCTGACACTGTCACAAGTTCTATGCTTTAGACATAAATATGCACTAGGATATATGCTGTATTTATATATGATAGTCATGAACTTTGGCTTTGGGTTGTTATGCTTGCCTCACTTCTGTAATATTTGAGTTTATTTATGAATATACAGATTTGCACCATTCAGCACTCCAGTAGAGTGCCAGATCTCCTCCACACTAGATCAGAAGCAGGCAGCCCCTTAAAACATACTTTTTCAGAGCTTTCTGTCTCTTCCTCTCACTCTGTACCTCTCAAATACTATTGTTTGTAGCTAGGTTGTATCTTCTAGTCTCCTTAGACCATTTACTAGTACGCTGGGAGCACCTTGCTATGCAGGGTCTTAACTGCTTTGGTGTGATCCATCTACTCATGCTAAATAAGCTCTATGCAAAACCCACCACTGGAAATAGAGTGCCGGCCTATTATATGGAGGAATTAAGCTGATGACAGAATTAGCTTTACTGAAATGGTTGTTTATAAATACCTTTTGAAGAAGTTCAGATGGTCAGAGAGGAGGAGAATGGGGAGCTGGAATGCTGCATACCGTCTCATCAGTGGAGTTGCCCTAACTTCTGTATGCACTCTTTCTGAAGAGGTAAGATGGAGGTTGGTTCAACAAAACCTGATATTCCAGCTATATGGGAGCAGAGCTTGCTCAGTATCTGGGTGAATGGCAAGGCAAGGTCTGCCTGCTCCCCACCCACGTGTGCCAAAGAAGTCGAACCAGAAGCAGGCGCGGTTGCTTCAGCACGTGGCATGCAGCTACTCACTGCTACACATGAGCTTCTCCTGCCCTGCCCAGGCAACCTCAGTACCATGTTGGATCGTGGTTCTGCCCTCTGCACACTGGCTTCAGTGAGCACTGGCCACCTCTGGGTTGGAAGCCATTCCTCATATGAATGTTCTTGGGGGGAAAAATCTGTGATGATCACAGATATTCATGTTCTTTTGAAATATACTCTATAACAGGGGTCCTCAAACTTTTTCACCAGGGGGCCAGTTGAAAGCTGCAGGTGCTGGGCGCGGGCCGGAAAGGGTGCCGGCTGTGTGCGTGGGCTGGCGTGGGGGTGGGGTGCACGGCAAGGGGAGGCGAGGGGCTGGCGGGTGCACAAGGCAGCGGCTGGCTGGCTTGCTTGCTTGGAGATCATTTTCTCCAAGTGAGCAAACCGCTGCCTGCCTGCACATGGAGCGAGGTGGGCAGCGGCAGGTGCGCATGCGGGCGTGGGCGCAGCAGGTCCAGATAGGCATGCCGGGCCAGATAAATGGGCATGGCTGGCCAGATCTGGCCCCCGGGCTGTAGTTTGAGGACCCATGCTCTATAACGTGTGGATTAAGAAATGGACAGTAATGGGAGATACCGAAAGCCCTTACAATGGCTGAGTGACTTCAAACTTGGAAAGATAAATACCCACTGCCTAGCATCTTACGCATTTGGACATGTCTCCCACAGCCATTTTTGTTATATTTGCAAATACTATATTACTACTACTACTACAACAATTAAGCTCAGCTAGCAGGCATGCCAGCCCAAGATAGTTTGCTGCCTGAAGTTGAGGCCAAATGGTACCTCCTTCAACCTGCTATGGCCAGCAGTTCATTGCATCGTTCCCATGTTGAGCTGCCTGCACCCGCCACTCTGTTCATGTGGTCCTCTGAAGCAGATGGCTTCACATTTCTACATTGCAGGGCCAGCCCTGGCTGGGAGCAGTGCCTGAAGGAGCAGAGCACAGGGAGATGAGATAGGGAGGAGGAGGATTTTCTCATGTTAAAATGAGTCCATAAGTTCCTACCCCACTTTATAGAAACATAAAAACAGAGCAAGTCAGAAGGGACCTCCCGGGCCATCTAGTCTGACCTCCGGCACCAGCCGGCTCCGCTCACGACATGCCCACCACATGCACATCCAGCCTATCCTTGAACACCTGCACTGATGGTGCCTCAACGACCTCTTGTGGAAGCCCATTCCACACCCCCGGGGTCCTGACTGTCAGGAAGTGCTTCCTGGCATCCAAACGAAACCTTGGCTCCCTGAGCTTTGCTCCGTTGGAGGGTGTCGTGCCTTCCTCTGCAGGGGAGAACAGGTCTCTACCCATCTCCGTGTGACATCCCCTCACATACCTGTATGTCGCCAACAGATCCCCTCTGAGTCTTCTCCAGGCTGAAGTGATCCAGTTCCCTCAGTCTTGCCTCATACCCCATCCCCTGCAAACCGGCCACCAACCTTGTGGCCCTACGCTGCACTGACTCTACCTGGCTATATCCTTTCTGTAATGAGGGGCTCAAAACTGAGCACAATACTCCAGTTGTGGGCACACCAGAGTCGTATAGAGTGGTAGTAATACCTCTCTCGATCTAGAAGCCACACTTCCGGCTATGCAACCAAGGGTGGCATTTGCCCTCTTGACCACCGCATCACACTGCTGACTCATGTTTAGCCTGCAGTCAACCAGTACCCCGAGGTCCCTTTCACAAGTGCTGCTCTCCAGCCACTTGTCACCTAACCTGTACTTATGACAGCTATTCCTATGCCCCAAGTGCAAGACCTTGCACTTATCCACATTGAACGCCATCCTGGGGGACCCCGCTTGTCACTGGCCACCATCCCGATGATTCCCCACTAATGGTTACCCTCTGCTTTCAGTCAGTCAACCATGCCCTAATCCACCGGACAGTGCTTTGGTGTATCCCAAAACTCCTCAGTTTTTCCACCAGGATACCATGGGGCACTTTGTCAAAGGCCTTGCTGAAATCCAGGTATACCACATCCACTGCATCCCCTCCATCCAGCCATCTTGAAACCTTGTCATAGAATTCCACAAGGTTTGTCTGGCAGGACCTGTTTTTGCGGAAGCCGTGTTGTATGGCTGTCAGCCTCCCTTCCCTATCTAGCATCACTAGATCTTTCTCTATTATGAGCCTTTCCATTGTTTTTCCTACAATGGACATAAGGCTAACAGGTCTGTAATTCCCCATGTCCCTTCTACTACCCTTTTGAAAATTGGGATCACTGATGCCACCCTCCAGTCCTCTGGAACTTCACCCGTTCTCCACGAGGCCTCAAAAATGGAGGCCAGCGGGCATGAGAGAACCCCTGCCAACTCTCTAAGTACTCTCGAGTGTAACCTGTCAGGGTCTGGAGCCTTTGTAATGGCCGATGCCTTGAGGAGCCCCTCGACTTCAAGGGGGGTGACTCTAATCTGTGCCCCTAAGTCCCCAGCCTCATCTAATCTCCTATGCAGATATCCCCCATCCTGCTTTGGGGAGAGCACAGAGGTAAAATAGTCATTTAGCATCTGTGCCTGTTCCCTCACATCAGCCACTGGATCTCCTTCCTCCTTATTTAGTGGTCCCACCACTTGTCTCCCCTTCCTCTTCCTATTTACATGCTGAAAGAAGCCCTTTTTGTTGCTCTTGATATCCTTGGCAAGTCTCGGCTCATAATCAGCCTTAGCCTTGCGAAGAATCCTTCTGCAATGGACCTCCTCCTCCTGCTATACCCTTTTGCTTATTTATACATGATTCCAGGACAGAAGAAGGAACCCAAAGGTTGCTTACCCACTGAAACTGATTAGGTGTTACTCATCACCATTGAAAACCAAGCAACGTATTTCCCTAACCCACTTAAGTCCTTGGAAAGAACTGGAATGGGATATCAGATGTAAGGAATTCAAATTTCTTAGTTTGGTGCATGGCTGAGCAATGAGTTCTTCTTACTTACTGGAAGTCTAGTGTTTACTACAACATGATCCTAGGTTAGACTTTAATCTGGATCAGGCAACCTGACCCTGCAATTCACATTGAAAGGAAAGGGCCAAGTTACATTAAATGCATGTCAAGGCTAGCCAAGCTTCCTAGCAACCCCCAGACTTTTCAGAATGGAAGTTTGTAAATTGCCCATGCCTGCCCCCAGTAATTGAGGGATCCAGCAGGCTAAGTAGATTTGTGTATGTCATAGTGAAACCCTCGCTCTGCACCTATTATCCCTTCAACCTGTTCTTCTAAGGTGGCTTACTAGCTGCAGATACTGATAAAATAAAGAGATAAATGGGGAACACTCTGCAGACAGAAGAAAATGCAAGTGGCTGAAATTTGTCTTAAATGGACTTGTGCAGAATTCATACATTTATCACTTCAGATAGCTGTGTGTTGCATCTCCTTTAACCTGATTTTCTCCATGTTAACGGCTCCCCAACATGATAAAATGTGCCTGTGTTAGCCTGAACCTAACAAATTGAATTACTCTTTTTCTTCAGGGCCGTGCTGGCAAAGGAAGCATCTACGTGTGGGCTTCTGGAGATGGGGGAAGCTACGACGATTGCAACTGTGATGGCTATGCATCCAGCATGTGGACAATTTCCATCAATTCTGCTATCAATGATGGCCGAACAGCATTGTACGATGAAAGTTGCTCCTCGACTTTGGCCTCGACTTTCAGCAATGGGAGGAAGAGAAATCCTGAGGCTGGTGTGGTGAGTGAAGCAATTGTGCTATTAGGTATTGTCCTTCGAGAAACATCGTGATCTCTTTTTTATTAGAGAAGGTCTCGTATTCCTGACCAGATGGCATGTTGATGGCTCTCCATTGGTGGAGAGGAGCATCATGGAATAATAAAAAATAGTTCAAATCAGTCTAAGCTGCCAACTGTTGAAGAGGAACAGTAATAATAAAAGCAGAAATTAGCTGTTTTTATTTTCTGTTCTGTGCCTACGTAGCTGGTTATTTAGTAAATGTCCAGATTTTCATTTTAGTCACATTTTTGCTCCATGACAATTAACCATTTGCTATAGTTGCAACATACAGTAACTTAGCACAACACATTGCCAGTCCAATATAATCTTTCATAATGTAATAGTATCATTTTATGTGCTCAGTCTAATAAAATATCTAGTCTTGATAAGACTAGTCTTGATAAGACCAGATAAAACTACAGACCAGTCAGAAAAAGATTCAGGAGTCACATCATTTTAGTTGTGTAGTCCCAAAGTAAAACAAATGTTTGGAAATGTAGAGGGGACGTCATAAGTTGTAAAATCTGAAAGTTAGGCAATGTCTTTCAAATAGTTGTGTGGTGGATTATGAAGCACATAACATGGGAAGTACCACTTCTTGTGTTATTGTTAAAGAAGTGAAAAGAAGATGAGGGATGTTTAATTGAGAAAGTGAACTGAAAAGTTTAATTTTCCAGAGTCCAAGGAAGATAAATTCCATCTTAATTTTTGATATGGTGCAATTGAGTCAAGCCAACTTCACCTTGTAGAGGAGTTACATTGTTTAATTGTTACCACACATGGCAAATGGCAGCTCATTGCATCTTCAGCTATTTCCAAATGGAAGTGAGTGAAGTGCAGCTTGTTGCAACAACCACGTAACCAGTTCAGATGGTGAAGCCAGCTTGCCTTAACTTCACTGCATCCAAGGAAGAGTCTTCATAGGAGTCCATCCAGTTCTCTCTCCATGGTAACTGGTGCATCTGAGAAAGTGTGGGTGGAGATGGGAGCAGAATGGACCAGTTCTGCTTTCAGTATTATTACAATAATAATGGGAATTGACCAGGCAATATGCACAATCACTCCCTCTAGTGACTCTGCAAAGCTTGCCTAGTTCCCCTGGTTACAAGTCTTGCAGTTTACAACTTTGGATCTAGCGTTCCTTTGAATGGAGCTTCACACCCAGGATGCTCCAGATGGAGGGCAGGCTTTGCTGATTTCTCCTGCAGCCTCCTGGGCTCCCTGAAAAGCTGCTCCAGAGGGCTGGGAATTGGGAGACGCTCCAGAACCATCTGTGTGGCTGTGGTGGGGAGGGAGAATTGCCAGACATGGTCTTCCAGGAGCCTACACTGGATCCACTGGAAGAAAAGGAGCCCTTCTTTGTGTGGAAGGGAGGATCTGGACCCTATCCCGAATCTTCAGATGCCGCTTGCATTTAGCAAACATCTGAGTGAATTTCGATCCACTGATGGATGAATGCTTGAATAAAGTCATATGGACTGTTTTGTATCTGCTATATGCACTTTTTGATGTATGCCTTTTAAATGGAGTTGTTATTTATTATTTCACCACTTTTTCCAAATGTGTGGAAAAACAGTACTTTTAACTGTCTGCTGCTCAATAAATGAAAGGCGTAACACATAATTCAATTCCATATTGGTTTTATATGCCTACCCAGCTTGAAGGAGTAGAGAATTGTCCCTCCCATGTGCTTCTCTCTGCTCCCTTGCAGGCTACAACAGATTTATACGGCAACTGTACCCTGCGCCACTCAGGAACATCTGCAGCTGCACCGGAGGCTGCTGGCGTCTTCGCCCTTGCGCTGGAGGCAAAGTGGGTGAACGCAGCCATCGATTACATTGTTAAGGGCTTCAGTACCTCCTATTTACGGCTATGAACATGCCTCTTAAGCTTGTATGAGCTGACATTTTACAAATCCCTGTGATATAGTAAAGCTGTGCTTTAAACGGCTTCTTCCTGAATAGACATTCGTTCACAAATGTAAAGAAAGATGTGAAGAGAGCCTGGTGCACTCTTGCAGTGGCACTCGTGCCCTGCCGTGGCTCTCTTGTCCCACACCTGGCCCACGTGCGTCTTGTGCCTTGGTTGCTGACTGGCTCCCACATGCATGTTTCTTTAACACATTGCCTGCATTTCCTACGCAGGCTTTCTTGTCAAGCTACCCCTTTGTTGCCATAATGGGGGTTAATGTCAAGGGGGATGCAGTCAGAAAGGGTTACTTTTCCCCTCCCCACATGTTACAACACTCCTCCCAATTTCTGCCTGCATGGTAGTTAAGTTTAGAGGTGAGGGAGGCTTTTTCTGTTGGTTTGCGACAATCTGAGGCAGGGGACCACTTCATTGAATGATTTATTTTGTGACGTATGATTTGGATGAAAAATTAATTGGCTGGCTTTGCCTCCTGTGAAGCTTAATTAATTCCTAGCAATTATTTCTACATTATATATATATGTATAGGTTTAAATCTGCATATTCTCTTTGTATGCAGATCTGTTCTGTGTTCAGTAGGAATTGCTGGGCAACTCTAAATGCCTGGCAAGACACCTGTCCTTGGAGCATAATGGGAGAAAGTTGCTCAGGCTGCTTTGGTGAATCCTGCCTTTCGGCACTGAAGAGCCACATTCCCACTATTTTATCCTTCGTCATAATGTATTCTCCATCCACATACCTACTGACTCCTTCTCCACAGCTCCATTTATTCAAAGCACTGCATGGTTTTGTCATAAAAAGACTCAGTCCCTGACTAAATTTGCAGGTTGCATGTTAAGAGAATGTTGGGGGGCAGCAGAGTTTGTTTTACTTGTTTTTTTAAAAAAAGACACATGGAGGGGAAGGCTGAACTAGAGTTGTCAATATGAGTTGTATCATAGTAATACAGATTTTGTAAAAGTGGTATTTTGTTTAACAAAATGAGCTCTGGTGCAGCATTCTCCCTCCCTTTAAAAATCAGTTGAAAGGAAATCCAGTTGATAGGATGATCCTTTGACTGGGACCAGCTCAAAGGTTACAAAGAAATGCACCTGCTTTTGAATTCATCAGAATTCAAGAGCAATGGCCTCTCTCTCTCTCTCTCTCATTGTGTTATTTTGAAAACATTTGAGTCTCCAGTTATTCAGAGACAGATTTGATATATGAAATTTGATGAACTAAATGCTTACTCCTCTCTTTGTGGCAGTCCTTTTGTTGGCCCCAAGAAACATTGGACTCTACTGTTTCTTTGGGGTTCTTGTTTTTGTCTGTCTGATGCATGAAAATAGTCTTTTTTGAAGAAGTCCTTCCTAGAGATGCCAGCTCTCACCAGATTGCTCTCTTGCAGTGTGGATCTGACATGGAGAGACATGCAACATTTGACAGTGCTCACCTCCAAAAGGAACCAGCTCCATGATGAAGTTCACCAGTGGCGAAGAAATGGGGTTGGCCTAGAATTCAACCACTTGTTTGGCTACGGTGTCCTAGATGCTGGGGCAATGGTTACGATGGCTAAAGACTGGAAGACTGTCCCAGAGAGGTTTCACTGTGTTGGTGGATCCATACAAGAGCCACAGTAAGTGAAAGCAAACGTTAAGGCCTCAGTCTGGTTGGAAGTTAAGAAACTTGTTCTCCCATTATGAACAGTGGGATCTAGCCTACAGAATCACAAGACCACTTGCAAGGTCGGTCCCCAAGAGCAAGATTATCCCAAGTGGTTCAGATGGCACCTTCGACTGGATGGCTGGAAGGAAAAGCATTGTGGTACTCTTGCTATTTCCAAATTCCCCTGTTGGTACTGGGGACACAATCACCTTTGTTTCACCTCAGCAACACACACGTGGTGATGCCTCACTAGTCAGAAGGCATTCAGGTACCCACTGATCAAGTTAGAATTGGATACAATTAAACAGAGGAAGGCTCAACACATATAAATGGGTTATTATTGACCACTCTTTGCTTAAGCAACAGAGCAAGTGCAATGCATACAGCATATGCAACACATTAAGTCCTGGAGAAACTGTTGTAGAAGATCCCTCAGACAGAGCTTGGTTACATAGGCTGATACAAAACATGGTCCGACCCACTGGAAGGTGAAACAGGATCTCCTATTAATTAAATGATATACAGAAGTTTGGAATATACAGTAGCAGTTAATGACAAGCTGATGTGCGAAATAAAGGTGAAAAAAGGATTGGTAAATAAGAATTATTTTAACAATATATGGGGTTTGTTTATTGAACATGTGTTAATAAAAGTGGAGGGTACTAAACCTCCAATGGTTGTATTACATTTTTGGATGGAAGGGGGTATTTAGGAAAGAATGGAAAATTAAAGGGGAAAAAAGCTAGGCAGTCATGGTCTTGGTGGAGGGGCACACTAAAGGTGACTTTCTTTTGAGCAGGGTTCCTTTTTTTGTCATGTGGGCCGGTGGGTCCAGAGTCAGTAGGACTATGCATCCACTCTGGATTTCAGTCCGAGTTGTGAGTTCGGTCTGCATTTCAAAGTAGTCATCCATGGCACTGAACCCCATCTCCAAAATAGGATTGGCACCCTGGAGAGTTCCTCAAAAGCTCAGAGTAAAAACTGGAGTGGATTCACAGCCCCAGTGAGATTGGAGCAACCCATCTCCACTTGAAGTTTGAATCTAATGATTCCTCGGAATGTTAGGGAGCATTTTCTGAATGCTGTTTGGGTCTTGATAGCACCCAGGTAGTGTTTTTAGTCATTCCACGACAAATCTGGTGGCTGCTTTTTCACTCAAGAAAATCAACATATTTTTCAGAATGCTGCAAGTCACTCCTTAATTTACAATGGGAAATGTATTTGAGAGCATTACTCATTATTTACTTATATTAAAACATGGGCAGTGTCCAGTGCTACCACTCCCAGGTTGCCAGTGGGGGACAGCACTGCTTCCATTCCACAAGCAGCCAGTCTCACCATTTCCATGGCCAAAATGGTACCCACCACTTGTGGCACAAAGAGCTAGCATTCCCAGAGGCCGGCCCCCAGATAAGCAGACACACTAGTTCCTGGACCAGTTTCTTGCTTATGCAAGCTGTGGAGTGCATGCTGCCGCTTATTTAGTGTAGCCCATAAAATCACTAAATTTTTGCTCTGCAAACAGCAGGTGCCAAGATTGGAAGAGGTTTCATGGTGCTGACTGCTGGATACTGCCCAAGTTGGTATCACTTAGAATCAAGATTACTCACGTTGGTTATTTAGTTGGAATGCTGCCCCCGTCACACACATACTTTTCAAACCACATTACAAAGTGACACCATTTCAATACTTTTTTTTCCTTCAAGATAGTTTTTGGGCTGAATGCCCAGACTTGTTGAGATAAGACATGAGCTTTTACTCCTCTGAGATTTTTATTTTTATTTTTGTAAAGCATTTATTTGTCTCTGCGTGAGGTCTCTCTGGCCCTCTCAGAGTTCTGTAAAACTTGCCTCTAGACCACCTCAGCTCCAACATTTTGCCTGCCTTCATTTCAGCACTAGAACATGTATTACCTGGGGCAGTAGAGCAAGGTCTTGAACTGGACAGTATCCCCCCATCCCCAAGACATGGCACCAAGGTCTGCAGGAGGCATACAATTTCTTGGTAGGTTTTGTGCCCGAAGAAAAGTATCGCACTGTGTTATATGGAAGGCACTTCCTTTCCTGTTCCGGCATCGGATCTGTTCCCATGTGCAGGGACCATTTCGTGAAGTTTGTTGTCTGTACTGAGGTCTAGATTACGTGGCAGCGCTGTCAGGGTGGGCTCAGATGTGCTATTTGAGGCAAAGGGGAATGCCTATCTCCATCTGGGTCCACCATTAATTACTAATTAGTATTTAGTCATTAATTAGTAATTAAGCCAACTCTTCTTGGCTTAATCTGGGGCTGGGATACATAGATCTTTTTCTGAGAAGAGAAGAGAAGAGAAGAGAAGAGAAGAGAAGAGAAGAGAAGAGCTCATTTTGGAAATCTGGAAATATCATTTGGGATGCAGCATGGTTTGAATGCCTCCTATCCTCTCTTCCCCCACAAAACATGTCCCCAGGTATCCATTTCCAGTCTTTTACTCGGTGGAGTGGCAGGATGGCAAAGGCCTCCCCGTAGCACTTCCGTTCCTCTCTGGTGTCCGACACCAGAACGACGTATCCCACGAAGCCCAGGGGAAGGAATTTTTCAGGGTGCCCTTTTGCAGCCTTCCCATTTCCCTGTGAAAGAGGCTGCCATTTTTCTGCCTGCTCTGTGGGAATGTTGAGAATTCTGGAGAAATTTCTCAGGGAGCAAGACTTCTGAACTTTCCTTCCTTTAAAGAGGTGATGGAAAGATATGCACGTGCTCTTTATTTTACCATTTTCATTCTGTTCTGCCCTTGGAGCCTCTCAGTCTCTCTGCATAGCAGAGAAAAGGATCCTAAAGAACTTGGCAAGGACTTTCTCCCCTGCTGTTTTCCAGTGCTTTGGGCCTGTTTGCTGAGGGTCTGACAGCTGAATCAGGCATTAGGTGGGTTTTTTGCTGGAAGAGGAAGAGAAAGATGAAGACCACCACCACCAAGAACTAACAGCTCCCTTAATTGTCATGCATTCAGCAGAAGTAATATAAATTCATTCTTAGGGTTTGAATGAATTAGGAGCTTCAAAGCCTGCACAGTCTATATCTAACCACCCCATTCTTGCAGATGTACCAAACTGGTGTAACTCTTGAATAAGCTGGTACATCTTCTACGTACTTATTCCTTCATCATGGCTCCTGCCACTGCTCTGGTTCTACAAGGAGGAAGTCCCTGCAGGTTTCTTTCTCAATAAGCCCGCAATCAGTAAATATCACATAACAGTATCACAATCATGCAAAGGCAACCAGACTATATCAGGGAGCCTAACATAGTGACACATGAAGTTATGTTGCAGAATTCAGGATGTATTTTGATATTGTGCATGCACAAAACCTCTTAAACATGGCAATTCCATTTTTTCCATTAATAAATTTTTTGCAGGCAGGAAAAAAAAGATGGAAGAACTGTTAGGAGAATACAGGAGGGATTAGAGTGGAAGATAACCTCCTGTGAAATCCCATGGAGGGGACACCATGAAAACAGAGTACCCTGGAAGTTGTCCATGACTAGTGCTGAATTGGGGGCAATTACAGGTTGATTGTAGTCCACACTGTTCCAGTTAAATGATAAAATTAAATTAAGACACTAAACTTCATTACATGTAACTTCATTGCATTCTTCTCTGACTGATTCTACTGTGAGGTGGTGACTCCAGAATATTTCAAATACAAGTAGTAGTTTGAATGCTGTACCATCGCAGCATTAAATATTCTGTTTGTTTTCTCCAAGTCTCCAGTTAAAGGCAAGGTAGTAAAATTATGTTCTGATTAGCCTCATGTGACAAGCAGAATGAGTCAACAAACAAATCAATTAATACTAATTGACTGCAGTAGCTAAAGTTCAATTGTGTTATTTTAAATACTAACCTAATGATGAACAATTTATGCCTCTAACAGCTGCAATTTACCTTTTCAGGGTTGCCTTTGAAAATAGTTACGCTTTATAGTGGGGATGGGCAGCCTTTTGGGCCCAAATGCACATTTGTCATTTCTGCATTTGCTCCAGGAATGGGAGCCATTGTGGACCCACCATGCATCTTCCCTTCCCTTCCCTTCCCTTCCCTTCCCTTCCCTTCCCTTCCCTTCCCTTCCCTTCCCGTGAGTCCCTCTATTTTACCCCCAGCATGGATTCTTTTCTTCCTGTCCCCTTCTTCCTTTATTCCCACTTGGGATTTCACTCCCACGCCACTTTCCTTCCATCTCACCACTGCACACCCATCCCTACAACTGCATTTTCCTTCCCTCTGCCACACTCATCCTCGCCTCCTTGTCCTCTCCCTGCTGGGATGCAAGCGTTGGCTTCTGGGTGCTCACCTCTGCTTCCTTCCAAGCCTCTCGCCCATGATCCCCCCACCCTGCCCACCGCTGCACTCTCCTCCCCCTGCTTCCTCCCGTCCTGCTGGGGCTGCAGCAGTGAGCAGGGGGACATGTGGCACAAGTAGCAGTGGGAGGAAAGTGGCAGCCTGGGGAGGGAATGGGAGACGCGGGAGTCCAGTCAGTGGCCCCCACTGTATCCACAGGGACCCCATTGCCAACCCCGGCATTACGGGAAAGCAAAATAGCACACATCTCAAGCATGATGCTCTCACAGTTCTGTGCTACTTTATCTGAAGACTTATTTTAGCTCATTAAATTATATTTGGGCAAAACTAAATATAATGGGCTTAGAAGACTCAGTTCTGTATCAATAAAGATCACCATATATGTAATGAAACTAGATAACTGCTACCTAACGATCATGTACTCTTGCCTAAATATTCAACTTTACAGTAGTAAGCATTAGAATTGTACTGATTCTTCCTGTTGTTCTCTCATTGTGTGAGACAGGACAGACATCCATATTACCTGCTTGTCCATGCATCTTTCTGTTTGCAGCTATGCTTTTCCACATCTGACAATGCTTCACCATCATCTTTGTTTGCACTGGAAATGGCTTCTTTACTACTTGAGAACAACCAATCAGGGGCTTTGTAGAGAACTCTGTGATGCCATGTAGCCAATCAGATTTAGCTTTGATGGGAGGGTACTCCTCCCTTCGCTCATCACCCTGAATGCACCCCTTGGCCTGGGCAGCCAGGGTGACAGTCCTGGGCTTGCCAAACTGTATTGAAGACTGCCATGCGCATACGTGATCTTGCTCTGTTCCTGTATATTCCACACATCGTGTGTCATTGTGTGTGTCTAGATGGACTGTCAGCTTGGTACCCAGGGACTATCCAGTCCCTGGAATTAGCTTCAGAGGCCCTTCTCTGTGTTCCTCCTCAAAAATAACCTCAGAAAATGGAAGTAGGGATGCTTGAGAATTTCACTGTTGTTTGCAAATCATGAAAACATATCCAATTTGCAGCCTGAAGCATGAATGCAAGCAGGATGCAATTCTTGGGAAATAGTTGCAATTACTGGAATGCGTGTCTGCATTCAGAATTGTGCATTTCTGCATGGCTGCACTCTGACAATGCACACATTTTAAATCAGTTCTCTAAATCTGTACTTTCATGCTTCAGTTTGGGGGAATGCACATTCTTAGCTGGAAAAAAATTGCAATTTTAAAACACATTCTTCCCAATTGAAAGCACACATTTTTCCTGATTGGAAGCTAAGGATGCTTGTGTTCGGGAATGCAAACAAGGTGAAATAAGCTTCCAGGAAGAATCTGTAGAACCTCAATGATCGCAAATATCACAGGAATGGATATTTTCTGTGATTGCTCCAAATTTATGGAATGCTTTCCCCAGGAAGTTCACCCAGCATTGCCGCTGTCATCTTTTCAGTACCAGACAAAGTCATTTGGCTATTAGTTCTGTTCCAATTGCAGGCTAAAGTTCTATGGTTCATTCGAAGTTGTGAGAAGTGAGGAAAATTTCTGTTTTGTGGATTAACACTTTTCCCCTTGTATCATTTTTAGATCATGCTTTTAAGATGTTTATATTTATTTGCAATATTACATTTATTATGGTTCATATATTTATACATTGTTAATTGTGGAATTCTGTATCTGTGTAAGTCTCTTTGAAACTGCTTTTTGAAACTGCTGGGAAGCTGCACATATATTTAATAGACAATAACATAATTTTTATATGAGAATGATACAGTACACTGACAAATAAATGTGCATTTCTGTTAGCTGTGTACATGTGTTATGCAAAGTATGGGTTTTAATCTACTTTACTCTCTTGTAAATCCCAGGAAACTCTCATCCAGTGGCAAGTTGGTTCTGACTCTTACAACAGATGCTTGCGAGGGGAAGGAGAACTTTGTCCGATACCTCGAACATGTTCAAGCAGTTATAACAGTGAACTCTACCAGGAGAGGGGACTTGAATATCAACATGACTTCACCAATGGGGACTAAATCCATTCTGCTGAGTCGGCGTCCAAGAGATGATGATTCCAAGGTGGGCTTCGACAAATGGCCATTCATGACGACACATTCTTGGGGAGAAGACCCCAGAGGTACTTGGGTGCTGGAAGTTGGGCTGGTTGGTATCCTACCCCAGAAGGGTGTTCTCAAGGAATGGACATTAATGCTACATGGAACTCAAAGCGCACCCTACATAGACCAAATAGTAAAAGATTACCAGTCTAAATTGGCCATGTCCAAGAAGGAGGAGTTGGAAGAAGAATTAGATGAAGCAGTAGAGAGAAGCCTCAAGAGTATATTGAGCAAGAACTAGCCCTGCTTTGCATGTCAGGCAACCTCCTTCCCCTTCGCCTTTCCTGAGCATTTCCATTAGGCACATTCCAGTTACTGCCTCTAGATCAGTCTCCTAACATTCTGATTTTAGAGTTGTCTCTGTTGTCTACTTTAATTACAGTGGAAATTTCTGAATTCTGAGCCACAGGTATATTATTAGCCACCAGCTACTTCATAGGAGCGGGTGCCTGTAACTTTGTTTTGCAACTGGGATGATTATGGGTAGCGTTTTTAATTTTATTTTTTGTGAAAAATAGCAACCAACTAAATGGTGACCACATTCCTCTTCCTATTTTTTATTTTTTGTTGCCATGTTTTTGGACAAGTGAATGTTCTCACTGGAAATTTGGACTTGCTGAAACATAGAAGTGGGGAAAGAGAATCAGATGCCACATGTTACGTTATTTGTGCATTTTTTAGAATGCATACTTAAATTGGACACTTTTATTCTGAAGAAAAAGCAGCAAATGCCTCCTATATTGCTATTTGCCTCCAAAGGTACTGGCTGCAGTAAGCAATACCTTTAGGAGAATATCCGAACCGGGCATAGGTGCAATTTTCACCAGGAAATCGGAGCAAGACTCTGTAGCTGTTTTTTCCCATTCAAAAGTGGCCAGCTAAAGCATGCTTTTGGGAAAAGGTGAGAGTGTGTATTTGGCCTAATATAAGTTCAGTTAAGTTCTTAGAACCAATAAAAACACATTCGCAGCCTGAAGGAGATTACAGAACACTTTCTCCCAGTGTCTTTGCCACTTTAGGCTGTGATTGATACCCAGTTTCCTGGGACGATGCCCCGTTCAACTTAAGGGAACTTAATTTTGAGTTGACGTGTATAAGATTACACTGCAAATAAATGGATGGAACCTGCGGGTGAGTTCTAGTATCTTTCCTTCTCTTAATCCCCACCCAGACCCTTGGACTTATTTTAGTGCCATCTAGACCAGAGGGATCACCAATCCATATGGTGGCAGGAGGTTTGTTCTGGCATGAAAAATAAGTGCCTCCCCTTAACTCTATCATAGTCCTTTTGGGTAGATCAGTTTGCACAACAGACAGTCCACATCATAACCATCAGTGTCCTTAGATACAGTCTTTTGAATAATTTCCTAGAGATGCAGGAGGTGCGTGCAAAAGGGGAGGGCTACAATCTACAGCAGCCAACCCTAGAATGCTCATTTTGTCTTTGCAAGGAAACTGCAGCATGCTGTAGCCAAAGAGAAACTATTCAGAAAGTGCTTCCTCCTTTTTCTGTACAACAGCATTTCCCAGCTTGGTGCCCTCCAGATGCTTTGGCCATCAGTTCCTTTCAGCCCCAGCCAAAGCGGCCAATGGTCAGAATTCTGAGAGCTGCAGTCTGGAGCATCCAGAGGCTAGTTAGAAAAGGTTGCTGTAAAATTTGAGCAAAGAATGAAACAAAACCATTCCACTCCAGAAAAGCTCCAAAATGGAATCTGGCCACCGAAATAACTTCTGCAGTTCAGGGTAAGCGTACTCAGATGCTGGGCGGTAAAGTCGAGCTACTCCCTAGCTGAGCATCAATACTGGACTGTATCCCTGGGCATTGCTAGGTTTATGCAGCACAATACAGGTGTAGAAAGAGTGCAGGGAAAGTACAGCTTCTCACTGTAAGAACTTGAGGATGGGAACTAGGAACTAGCACTACTTCTTGGTTGACGCTGTACCCTTCTTCCCACCCCAGCGTCTTTTTCCATCCCACTGTGTGGTGTTTTAACCACCTCTTTGCTGCTTCCACGTTGCGTGTTGGATCCCCGCAGCATCTTAGTCCTGGGAATTATCCTTATGGGGCCAGGCATTCCAGGAGTTATCTGCATCCCAGGAATTAACTTAATTCCTTGATGGGGTCATGACTGTACTTGAAATAATGGATAATTAATTGGAGACGCTTATTTCTAAAAGTACAAATTGGGTGGTGAGAAGTAAGGGGATTAGCATAATTTGTGTTGTATGATATATAAATCTATGTGCTAGAATGACATTTGGGAGATCTCTGTTCCCCACCCCCCACCTCCAAATCTCCAATATAGCGGAGCACATTGGCAAAGACTAAGCTTAGACTTGAAGTATTTCTGTTAGAAATTCTGATTTTTTGAAGTTGCTTTTAAAAATGTATGATGCAAACAAGCCCAGTGAAGTTTCAGTCAAACCACCAGTTGAAAATTCTGATAAAGATAGCAGTTGGCTCCCATTAATCAGGATCTTGGTTGTATCTAACTCAACTTTTGATATGTATCAAGGGTAAAACTTGCCATTTGATTGAATAATTGGTGACACTGTCTAGCCAAAGTTGAGTCTGTCAGATAGTATTAATCAAAGTGAAAAAGGTGCATTAAAGCCTTCAAGGTGACCTTAGGGCACAGTTCTGTAGAGATACCTGTAAATCTCCAAAGTCGGAGGATTAGGGGCATCCTATAAAGGACAGGAGGAGTGTAAAGGCAACAGATACCTCCAAATTCCTCTCTCTCCACTGATTTTTTTGCCATCTTGCTGCAACACTTTGAAGTGGGAGGGAGGAAGATTGAGAGACTGGCTGAATGCATCGTATCATGGTGGATCTGGTCTGAAAGCTCATTCTCTCCTCTTCCAAGATCACTCTGATGACCTTGAGCAGCAGCCAGTGCCTTTCTTTCTGCAGCAGCTGTGCAGGGGGAGGAAGGGCTGAGCACAGATCCCATCTTCCAGCTTGCAGTGATTTTCCAGCCTCATAACTGGAGCTCTGAAAGATCCTATGTCCACTCATTGTCTAGCAGCCACAGGATTGCTCTACCCAAATTTATATTTATCAGAAATATAAACTTGGCATTAAAATATCTCATCATGGAGTTATTTACTTATCTGCAGGTTTGTTATATGATCTTGCCTTGATGAACTGCATTAAAAGACTGATCCTACCACAAAGCCCTGGCCTACATAACCCCAGTGATGGATGCCACCAATACAGACAACATCTAGAAACTAATCTAGAACCGTCGATAGTGCATCTCTGTCATGAATGTTTACTGCATCCTGATTGTTTAACCTATTACTTAGGAGCAAGCACCGTTGAGGCCAGCAGGGCTAATTTTGCAGAATATGCATGCGGGCTCCACTTAGGCCATCTCTCCAATGACTCAGTGGTGGCATTTCTAGCCTGGCAGTTATTGACGCTTAGGCTAGGATAAACAGGGATAGAACGGTGTTGCTGCAGTAGGTTCCAGACTGGGGTGGGTGGATTAGCCTGTTCCCAAGCTGTGCCCCTTTGGGGTACATTTATTCATTTGTCCATACCATCCTGTTCCTGTTGCTATCTTTCTTCATTTACACAAAAAATTAGGAATACGCATTTCTAGTGATCTCTTGTCCCAGTGCATAGGGATGCATTCTTGAGCTGAGTCCTGCCATCACAACATGCGGAGGCATCTGAAATGCAAAGAACAGCCACAGTCCAATCTGTGCAAGATTTTGTGAGTGAGAGCTGACCTCATTAGAAGCATAAACTATTATCCTCAGTTGTCTGGCACACATACCAATTAGAGATGTGTGAATCAGCTAAACTTGAGTTCAGCAAAAATAATTTTTCTTAAAAAAATCCCCAAATTCCATCTCAAAGCTCATTCCATATCAAAAGGCAAGAAGTGTTTTCATGCATTTCCCCCCACATGTTTGCATCAGTTATGGGCCTCTTTGAAATGCTTGCATTCTTCTTCCATTAATTGAAGGGCATTTGGGTGCACGGATCAGGGGTACACTTGCCATGCACATTTTGTTCCAAATCTTTGCTTGCTGCTGAACTTTTATTGTTTTTGGGGGGGGGGTCTGCAAATTGTATTGCAAGTTTGGAAATTTATGGAGTTCAACTGCAGATTCCATCCAAGCCCCCAAATGATGAACCAAATAAAGCCTGAACAAAAACAGACCAAAATCAATATCTAATACATCCCTAGTACCAATTGGTGCAACTGACTGCCTAGGTTGGTGGTGGTACCTTCTTCCTGCTCAGCACCCAGGCTGATTTGGGTGTTGGCTGTGGAGAGGGGACTTGTGCATGCCTGCACATTCACATGCACAAAGAAACTGCTGAAATCTAGGGACTGCAGGGTAGTGTTGCAGCCCTACATCACAGGCTCCTTTGTCCTGGCCTTACTAGAAGTAGGGAAACAGTGATCTTGGAAACTGGAAAACAGTGTGTGTGTTGGGGGTGGGGGGAGGTCCACAACAGATAGATGAGTTGGGATTTGGTGAAAGTGGGCTGGCTCACAGCATCTTTGGTAGCTGCAAAAGGAAGGGCAGAGGTCCACAGTTCTTGAGCAGAATCTTGGGAGTATTTTATTTGTGAGTGTTTGTTTGCTTGTTTGCATCAAGCAGGGACTTGAGAAAGAGGGTGCATACAGGTCCCCTCCCCAACTCTATGATTCTCATTCCTATGTGTGAATTTTTATTGGTAAGATGGGAAAGTGGGACAGTAACAGTATACAAGGAAAGACCAGAAGATCCCACAATGCATAATACCACTGTGTATTTTGAGATAGCATTCAGCACAATGGATAGCTCCTTTAGTGTTCCCCACTGACATTGCTGCCACCAGCCTCTGGGTCCCGTTTAGGCAAAATCAAATGCAAACAGAGTCTAGTGGAAAGGAGAAAAGATCAGGTCAGTAGGTGGCAGCCACTCCCAACTGGCAATGAATTAGCTGAACAGGCATGAATGCCCAAGATGTAACGACCATTTTATGGAGAACGGAGGGTGAACATCACGGCTGCTTACTTGTTTTGAACCGTATTTTTAATGGCCAATATGAGTCTTGCTCACCATACTCAGTGATAACATCTGACTAAGAGATGGCCCAAAGCATTCTGGTGAAAGAAACAAAAAATTCCAATGGCACCCTTGGTGATCGCAATACAATAATGAACTAAATGTAGTGGACTTTTGTTTCTTTGCATACAAACATAAGAAAAGCCCTGCTGGATCAGATGAAAAGTCCTTCTAGTCCAGCAGTTTGCACACAGAGTGGCAAACCAGCTGCCCACAGGGTCGCTCAAGCAGGATGGGTGCAAGACCCTCCTGCCCAGCTCCTCAGCCACAGGTGCATGCAGGCTTGCCAGCTCTGGCACAGGAGGAAGCACCCAGCCCACAAAACTAGTAGCCACTGAGAGCTTCCTCCCTCATGCATCTGTCTAATCCCATTTTAAAGCCAAATTGGCAGACTTCACCACTTCCCGTGGCATAGCTTAACTGTACACTGTGTGAAGAAACAGTTCCCTTTCAAGGAACACTGCAGTATCACCCCTGAGGTAAGTGCTCTGGCTGATGGTAGAACGAGCTCTTCTCAGATTATCTGAAATGTCCAGCAGCATGTCTGTTTACCTTGGCCAGGACAGAATGGGCAGAGAGAGAGGAGCAACCCATAATTCTCAAGGAGTTCTTCTTGTCTCCAGTCCAGCACATCGAGAACTTTCTTGAGAGCTGGGGGTCTTGAAACAAGGTCCCTGGTCACACAGAGGTCCACTTGTGCTCAAACAAACGCATGGAGGACCCCAGTTATGAATCATGCAGCTAACCATTCCCTTCTCCTGCAACTGTCATTTCATGCTTCTCAACAGCTTTGCTATTCCTGAACAAGAACAACAGCAAAGCTATTTGCCAAGCTTGCTTAAAAAAAATTCTGAGCACATGCAAAGCTGTCCTCCATCCATCTAACTTCTTTACTTCCTGAGATCGTCTCTTGGACCACTAGAGACCCAGAGACATTCTGGAAAAGAAAGCATGCCTATTTTGGGGTGGGGTACAGAGCTGATGACCCCTACATCAATGGGGCTCCTCATCTATCACAGCTTTGACTCTGAGTTTTATAGGAGCTATCCATGGTTCTAACTCCATCTCCATCCCACCACCATGGACAGCTCCTACAGAGCTTGAAGCTCGATGGATAAGGAGTCCCAGTGATGCAGCCTCCCCAGATTACTTTTTAAATAGAATAAAGTGATGTGCAGGTATCAGCAGAGCATTTTGGAGACACAGGAAAGGTGTCCATCAGTGCAGAAGCACCTGTGAAGACCACAACACCTAACCCTGCATTGACTTGACCTGTCCCTGCTTAATTGCAGCAAGGTTGTGCCTGACTGCATAGAAATATGTCAGATATGCAGGGACTGTGATTTTAACTTAATAATTACTATAACATCTGTTCATTGCTACTAAATTATTCTTTTTTTACAGGTGTGTGACATTTGTGATGCAGTTCAATTAAAAAAAGCCATGGCAGCTATTTGAATGGTAATGCCACTCATACAACCATTATTTCCTTGCTCATTTGTAATTTGCACTGATTTCAGCAAACCTGGATTTGCCATCCTGCACAAGGCAGAGTAGACGTTTGTATGCACACTGCATGCACAAAGTTATTTGCAATGAACATGTTTGTTTGTTAGCATCCTTGTATTTATAATTTTCTTGGGACATTCTGCACATTCTTTTCCTCTTTTAAATCCCCAAAATGTGTTCTAGTCCAAGTGATTCAAGAATCATGTTGGAATATGGAAAAGGGCCATCTCACTGTATGTTTGAATGGACAGGGAGGCTGTGGATCCTAGGTCTGAATTCGCAGATACGTGTAAACCAGGAGGAAGCAACCTCTCAGGGCCCTGGGCACAGTGCCAATCTGAGAAACTGCCCTTGCCACCATCAAAAATGGCTGCCATGGGAGGCATGGCGAAGGACGGTGCCCTGCTCCAGAGGCCAAATACAAGGCGCAGGTAGAGTCTGAGCCCCGGCACACTGCACAACTACTTTGAACATACAGTTTTCGGCTCCTTTTTCACAAAAGGCGAGAAAACCAAAGTGGGTGGAGTAGGGCAGCCTGACAGGTGACCAGAAAACTTTCATGGTGCAGTGGTAACTCTGGAAACCATGTTGCCCACCTCTGATATGCATGATGAACAGAGGAAATCGGGAGACTTAGAATCGCTTGTCTTTGGAGAGTGGAAGTTCTGCAGCTTCTTTGTTGGTTTTGTGAAAATGGAGACTGCACAGTCATGCATGTGTACTGAGGAGATATGGATCATATTAACAGTGCTGAGAAGAAGGACAGGATTTGAAGCTCCATGGGGGCCGAAACTGCCTGTTCCCGGTGTCTGGTGGGTAATGCTCACTATGTGCACTCAGGAAGAATAAAAAGGAAGGTCCCAGCTGCGTGGAGCCTATGGAATGATACTATGGCAGGAGACACTTGCCAGCGGTACAGGTCTTCCAAGAGAGGAAGAGGAAGTCATAGCATGTTCTGGAAAGGAGTAGCAACTAGGGAGAGTTGTGCTTCTTAGGACCACTTCTCGGGTTTTCAGTTCGTCTGTTCGTACAGATGAAAAGTATAAAATAGTTGGTACCCTGGTGAGGTTGAACTAAATCAAAGGAGAATATGGAGCTGCAGCTCACCTCAGATACAGGCAAGGGCATTTGAGCTTTAACGACTGCCGTCCACCGCTCGCGGAAAACAACCCCAAACCTCTTATTAGCAACAATAGCCTGGTGTGTTCGATGAGACAAGCTGTGCTGTGTCTGCACAAGTGTTTTCTGCTTCCGTGCTCTTTTGTCACATGGGAAGGAAGATGCCTTTGCAGACCTGGGGTAACTGAGAAAACAGCTGCAGATGTCACCTAACATCAGAACATGACAGATTTCCTCGGGATTTGGTGTACTTAATTCTAGGGCAGACAGTTGTGGGCAGGGGGACAGGGACCCGAAAAACCTAGAGAACGTAGGGGCGTGCATATCTGAGAGCAGGATCTGACCTCCCACTAGCTTTGAGTGCTTGTGTGAATGCAGGGACCACCTGTGGAGGTGCTCAGACCTGTCTGCATCATGAGCCTCCACCAGAAGCAACAGGATGAGGTTCATGTGGGCCCTGCAGGGCACACCTGCCTCAGCCGTGCAGATCCTCCTTGCTGCTGTGGGCCATACAGGCAACGATGCAAAGCAGCAGCTCTGGTCCGTGGCATGTGGAATAGCACATCACCCTAACGTATGTTATATATTTATAGATATACATCCAATTGTATATAAGAGAGAGAGAGAGAAATGCATTTCTAATATACATGCACATCCTGTGCACATGTATTTATTATAAAAGCAGAGGTCACACTGACATCTTAGGAGATCTTCAAAATGCTAAATTAAGAAGATTTTTGTCTAAGAACATGTATAGATGCCGTTGCTTTGATGTACTGTTGCACTTCTCTGTTTGAACATTAAATGTCCTATATAGCAGCAAAATAAATAAATGGGTGTACATATTTTCATAATCTTAACTGAAAGATAACTCTAAGTATTATTATTATGATTATTGCCACATGTATATACAACATCTATAAATCTATATCCATCTAGATATAGATGATTATTTGGATTTTATTTTATTATTTGCATCAGAGTAGAGATTGGAGGAAATGAGCAAGGTACCCTTTTCCTGGTATTACCGACACAAAATAATGTTAATTTATTATAATTTTTTAAAGTGGGAGATATGGGATTACTTGTTTATAGAGAGTGAACATTGTTAAATTATAAAGCCCTGTGCTAATGTTTTATAATACAATCAAAATAAAGAGATAACACAGCAATTCTGAAAATTGCTTATCAGAAGTTATGTGGCATTGTACTCAAGCTTGTGCCAAGAAGGTTGTGGGGAAGCCGAAATGCATGACTGCTAATAAGGGTTGTTGCTTATATCCTGTGCTTCAAAGAAAA